CTCCCCAGAGCTCTGCCGCATCAACGAGGACCAGAAAGTGGCGCTGGACCTCGACCCCTATGTCAAGAAGCTGCTGAACGCCCGGCGCAGGGTGGTGCTGGTCAACAACATCCTGCAGAACGCCCAGGTCAGCATGGGGACTCCGGGGCTGCAGTGTTTTAGGGGATCCCAGCTCCCATGTCTCTCCTGATGGTTGCGCCTCTGTCACACAGGAGCGGCTGCGGAGGGTGAAACACAGCGTGGCCAAGGAGACAGTGCGGAGGAAGAAGGAGACAGTGCGGAGGAAGGCCATGCTGGAGGCAGCGGGTGGCTACCCCCAGGGCCTGCCTGGCAAGTGAGGCCCCCGTTGCAGCGTTAGGCCGGATCCGCCTCGCACCGTGGCTGTGCCGACAGCCCTGTGAGCTGAACAGGAGCGACCCCAGACGGTAATGGGTGCGATACCATAAGGACAGCAAACAGAATGGGCCGCGAGCGAGGGGAGCAGGTATCCCTATTTGTAGCAGCACTCTCCTCAGCGTCGACAGCATGGGATGGGGCAAGAAGTCCTGCACAGTGAGGCTACAGCTCTGCAGCTGCGGCTGAAGGAACCAGGGGACCCCGAGTTGTATTTCCAGATCTGTAGGTGCCGTAATAAAAGCAACCATGTTGTTGTTTATGGGCTGGTGAGGCAGCGTGAGTCTGTAATGCTCCCATGTCACGGCTGCAGCCTTACGTCGACGTGCCTTGGGGAAAGCGCAGCCAGGCAGATGCTGCCAGCAGATAGAGCAGGTTGGTGTCCTTCAAGTTCTGGAACCCCCTCCTGCTGTTAGACCTTTTTCTGGCCCCCTTCTATAAAGTGTATCTTCTACCTAAAGAAACAGGATGCGCTTGGAAGGGGGGAACGCTTTAATGTGTGACTTATAAAAACACGTACAAGGGACAGGTCATGTCAGCTGTCTGCATTTGCTGAGGACAGGCTCAGTCCTCTGCCTCATTCTTCACGTCCTTCAGCCAGCAGCACCTGGCAGTGGGGGGTCCTGCTGCAGGGGGAGAGAGGGGCTGCAGGGTGCAGTAGGCTGCAGGCAGCCCGGACCAGTCCCTCCCCTGCCCAGAGCTGCCCTCTCCCAGGCAGCAGTACTGACAGGCTTTACCGGGGCAAGTCATTCCTGCGTCTCCATGCTTTCCTCCTCCTCGCCTGTAGCGGGTTCTTCCTGATTCTCTTCTTCCTCTTCTCCTTCTTTCTTCTCTGGAGGCTTCTCGTAAGCCTTCTCAGAAGGCGTCACTATCACTCCATCCCATGTGGACATTTCGGAAGCCAGGTCTGCAAAAACAGGGGCTCGGGGTGACCTTAAGGAACAGGGACAAGCCCCATCCCCAGGACGGGTAGGGGGAAGCGCAACACCCTGCCTCGCCAGCTTTGCCTCCCCACTGCTTTGGGGTTTAGTAATTCTCCTTGGAGCCCTTAACTCTGGAGCAACACAGAAAACCAGTCCCAAGACACCGACATTGTACCGGCCCCACTTACAGCTGGCATCACCCTCTTGGCCAAGGATTTTCCTGTAGCCTCCGTGAGAGAGAATCCGGACGAGCGTCTGCGCAGTGTAGCATACCATGTCCTGTGGGGATGGGGAAGAGTCAGAGCGTGGACAGGTTCTAGTCCCTTCTGTGGCAGACGAGGCAGCTCACCTGCTGTTCGAGGGTCATAACGGTGTGGACTCTGAAATTTCCGCTCTCGCAGGGATCAGTGATACCAACAGATCCAGGGAGGAAGAGCCCCGCGGCCAGGATCTGAAGGCAGCGCCTACAGGATGAGACATTTTGGGTTAGAAACTAGACCATTCCAGCGCAGGAACACAGCTAGAAAGTCTGCAATTAGCACATCTATGTGAGGCATCTACGTTGTCTCCAGTTCAGGTCTCTTCAAGCCCCGAGATGCCACTGCTTTTATTTGGTATGTACAAAACTGAGATGGCAACGGGAATTTACATGAGCAAAGCAAATGGCAACAGACCTGTAGGCGATGTTGAGAGCCAGGGGCTGCCTGGTGGGGTTGTTCATCACAGCATAGTGCCCCTGAAGAGGTGAAAAAAGAAAGAGGGAGTTAGGATGAGAGTTGCTTCCCACAAAGGAAATCTAAGAATCCCAACTCCTGCTGCTGCAGAAGCTACAAGGAGCTGCTTTATGCTGGAGCCCAGGGCCGTGCAGGCAGCTACAAGTTAGCTATGGCATGTCTGGCACACCATCAACGTTTCCCCCTCGTGCGCTCACCAGCAAGTCCAGAATCCAGGGTGTGAGGGGCTCAAAGCCAGGGAATCGAATTCTCAGGTCTTTCAGCAGCCGGATTAAGACCTTCACCCTGGAAGAGAGAGCAGGAGTATTCGTAGTGTCACGCACCTTCCTGCTGCAGGAACAGCCCTCCTGGCTTTCGCCCTGCTCTCTGTCAAGGAGATTATTTCACAGCCTCAAGAGCTGCAGTTCCCATCTGAAGCCAAACTCACGTGGATTGCGAAGCATTCTCCTCGAACCAGCGAGCGTGTCTGATGGCAGCCAGGGCGCTTTGCAGCACTTTGATGTCCACTGAAAAAAGCAGCAGAAATGCCTGTTTTTTCAACCAAAAGGCAAGTAGGGTGTGAGGAGGCAGCTGGCTCCCCTCCACCCCAAAGATTCACGTGCTGGGCAGAACAAGCTGGGCTCTCACGGTGTAGTTCAGGGTCCAGCTTGCGAAGATTGGGTGGCACCGTGGTGATAAGGATCTTCACCGTCGCATCGGCTGAGCTAATCTCAAAGCCGGTCTCATTGGTCAGCATGGTCAGGACTGGGAAGAACAAACAAAAATTCCTCATGGAGGGGTTGGAAGACTTTCCTGGCACCCAGGAGTGCAGGAAAGACCATGGATCTTGGGAGCGGTGCTGCAGCACCAGGCCGGGCACCATCCTCTTCAGGCAATCCCCAAAGCTCAAGAGGAAACTGCCTCGCATCAGTTTACGTCCTCACCTTCGCTGGGGTCCTGTGCTCTCAGACTTTCCACGACTTTGTTTCCCAAGGCTGCCACAGCTTCCACTAGGGAGAAGCAGAAGAGGTGGTTAGAGCAGAGCCGAATGCTGTGGTTCAATCAGCAGCTGCGCAGCTGATACTCACGGGTGGGTAAAATTTTCAGAATCACAACCAGATCGGCCACGTTGTGCCCCGTCGTCATGGTGCCCTTCTTGTAGGAACCCACCTGGCGAACTTCCTCAATTTGCTGTTTGAAAGAGCAAAGTAAAAACTAGTGAATTTAATGCATGTGCTATGATTCTGGGAGTCAGCATGAATCTTTAATCTGCTTTGCTTTGGGCCAGGTTTGGTAGCTAGAACACTAGCATCCCTCGTGCTGAAGCATCTCCCCACGTAGCTTTTTTTCCAAGCTCACCACTTTTGGACTCACCACTTCAAATGTTCCTGGTGCTACAATTAGATTGTCAATCACGTTGTTTATTTTGGTCACCAGAGAAAGAATAGAAGCCTGAAAAGGAAACGGAGAGGGGTGGTGTTACCAGTCAGTTGTCCAGTATAACTTGAAATAAATTTGATCTTGCACAGCATAATGCAGACAGCCCTGATGCAAGATATACAATAACCAGATTTAAAAATCATTGTCCAAGAAACCCCACCCATATTTCTACTGCAGTGCTTATTTCAGAAAGAAGTAATTACTTTTTAGGCTAGTAATGGCTACTCCTGACTACACTCTCTGAAGGACTGTCTGTCTTTCATTCTCTAACGCTGCAGTAACATTCAGCCAAAGAATTTAAGGCAATTTTCAGCACAAAACCTGTTCAGCGGCAGTCGGAGCAAGATCTTGATTTCTCTTCAGCAAGGCTTCACTGAACGCAGTCTCATCGGCGGCAGGTTTTACGCGGGGAAAAGCCATCTCACACTGAAATGGGATCAGAGATCAGACTGCAGTTCCCGAGAAAAAAAGACTAGTTCAACACACTCATCAGCAAAATTAATTTTTTTTTTAAATTCTCCAGTGTTTCCTTTGCGATTCCCCATCGTGCTTTTCACTTGTTGCTTTTATAATTTCACTTGCACGTTACGCTAAGGGGAGGGGGAGAGTAGCTGCCTCTCATGCCCGTACGCTCTCACCATGCTCCAACAGGTCTTCAGGAACGGCAGAGGAGCTGTCAGTTGCCCGTGCAACTATGGGGTGTGAGACAGGGCAGATCCAATTTAAGAATGGCTCTATCAAGAGGGTTTTTAGTAACTATATTACAGTCCCTTAAGAGTTTGTTTGGAGATGCTGGAGCTTTTCAGTTGCTTTGACAGCATTTACAGCCACAGGGCCTGGAAGGCAAGAGTAAGTGATCTTTTTTGCCTTGGAAGTCACGTGTCTGTAAAGGGGGACTATTTCCTCCTGTAAAAAGGTGGGAATTGTGTGTTGCTGTTGGTCCCTGTGAGGACCAACATGGCAAAAAAAACCCTGGAGAACTTCTGACAGGTGAGTGACAGCTATCGGAGTAACCCAGGAGGTTTGTGTTACAGAGAGCTGCCAGAATTGAGGGTCTGGGTGAGTGAGGTGCCTTCAAAAGCAGAAAAACCTCAATTGAGGCACTTATTATTTGTGATTGTTACTCAACTGCATCCTAGTCATCCCGTGTGACACAAGTACTCCAAACAAAGACAGTATAGAAGATCTATTTCAGGTTAGTTACTGAACCAACAGCTTTTTCAGTGAACTCCTTTACTCCGGCTATGCTAAAAGAAGTCAAAAGCATCAAAGTCAGCAAACGAGGTTTTTAAGATGCATCTTTAAACAAGGAAAAGTCCCGTAGCTGTTGCCTGCAAACAGCTCCGTAGGAGCGGGTTACTCACGACATAGAAATCAAAGGGGATGTGCGGCACAAAGGGCCGGAACCTAAAGGGGGAAAGAAAAAGAAAAGAAAAGAAGAACTTTATTCTCTGTAGGGATGTCGACCCGCTCGCCGCGGTGTTCGTCAGCGCCGAGCACCCCTCCCGCTGCCCCGCTCCGGCACCGTTTCGTGGAGGTTTGTTCCCGAGACGCAAGAAAGGCCCTACAGAAATAGGAAAGGTTTCTTCATAACC